CTTGCAGTTTCTTCCTGTGTGTCTGTTTGTAGATGAAGGAGCTGAGGACCAAGTGGGTCCTCTACACAGTGTCCCCAGCCACGAACCTGCCACCAGCGGGGAGAGGCGTAGACTCCTAGCCCCCTCCATCTCTGTATCTGTGCCCGATGATGACCCTTCCCATTCTGATGAGGAGTACTATGAGCATCCTTTGTTCCGCTCACAATGGACTACCTCTAGTGCGCTCCCCAGTGTCCCAGCGCAGAGTGCAGAGGCCCACTTAGGCCAGGAGAAAGGTGAACCGAGCATGGTCCCCTTTTGCTCCTCCCACACGCCAGCCTGCAGCTTTGACCACATGCTTCATTCTCAGTGTACCTTCGGAGTGGGGTGGGAGGGAAAGGAGCCTGTTTTTTCCATATGAAAGTGAAGTCCCTATATAGTTTATATGTCTAGCCAAATACCTCATCTACAATAAGCCTGATTTGAGGCATAGGAATATTTTCTTGTTCTGAATCATTGTTTCTGAAAACAAAGCCCAAAAAGGGGTGGGGGTGGGGGAGGGAGGAAAAAGAGTTCAGTTAAAGTATGACTCCTTTCTGCTCCCTGTAAATAAATCAGCAGGGGACGAATACATCCTCTTACTCAAACTGAGGGAGAGGATCCTGTATATAATTTTTTTCCTCCTTGAATACAGAATATTACTAGGATCAGACTTAAATAGCATTAGCCTTCTTTTTAGTGCCATGTCAATACGTAAGCTCCTTAAAAGAGAAAATTCATGAATCTGTGTAGGGCAGAATGCATGTTACAGAATGAATGTATTTCTCCTAATCACTTAATCATCTACAGAAACTACAGAGGCTCCCCCAAGTGACTAAATATTGGCTCACATGAGCAGACCTGGGCAGAAGTGAAGGAAATGATCCAAAGCCTTTGTCATTCCACCCTCAGAAAGCTAGCAGATCCTAGTGTATAACTGGCCGTGATGAGGGTGGTGGGCTGAAATTTATCTCATTCTAATTAGGTACTTTTGTAAAGGAAAACAAAATTAAAGCTAAAACATGTTTTGTGTAGGTTAAGAGCTTATTCTCAAAGAGGGAAAAATGACTTGTATGCACAAAGAGTTTATTTCCATACAGGACAGTATTTAATGAAAGAGCAGATAGTTCCAAGGCAGTGGAAATAAACTCAGAGATGACCAACGACATTCATGATAATAAACTTCGAGGATCCATGGGAAAACAAAGAGCACCGATGGCTCAGACACTCTAATAGAGAAGTATAACCCACATGGAGTAAAAGTAAATTCTTCTAAGAGTGTGAACTTAAAATGATTAAGAAAAATATGTGAAATTTTGAGTGAGAAACAGGTGGAAATAGGCATGATTTATACAAAATGAGGAAATGGAAAGCCAGAAGGTTATGTGGATTTGTCAAATATGTTGATTAAATTTATTAGACTTTACCCAAGAAGGTGCCATGAGTAAAGCAGCTACAGTGAAAGTCTTTCACCTGTCGTCGAAATCTCTAATTCTGTGGCATCATAAAAATGGCCTTAATAATAATTTGGAATCTGAATTTTTAAAATGTTACTTACATAATTAAATGACAAACATGAAAGTCCCTGAGAGCTAAGTGAAATAGATGTAGTACTTCTCCCCTCCCCCACCCCCTGCCCAGGGGTCTTAATAGTTCTCAAAAAAGATAATTATTTTCCTTTCCAGCTGTAGTCTTTCTCATGGGTCCATTTAAACAACGTTTCATATGAATTTCATCCAAATCTTTCATCTGTAGAACTGTAAAGCAGCTTATATACTCCCCTTTAATTTCTTAAGCAATAAAATGGGATTTATTTTACTGACATTTGAAAGTGCAAGTGAGAAGCAAGTGAACGTGATAATTCGTGGCCCAAGTGTGCTTTTTACATTTTAATTATTAATATTTTTCCACATGATACACCTATTTGGGGAAGATATTTTGGTAGTTTGGTTGCCATTCAGTTATCTTGGTGGTTTGGCTTTGAACTGCAGAAACAAGACTTTCCAGGTAATGTGCACATTGTCGTACTCAGAATCAAGAGCAACTACACACAGTATATCACGGGTATAAGCAATATGGTAACAGTTCTGTCCCCAAGGTAGACTTTTCTAAATGCTAAGATTCCATTTTACCTGGACCCTGCTTTTCAAAATAATTTGCTTACTCCTTGCAATTTTTTTTACATTCTCCCATATCATCTAATGCAATGAAGGGAAAATAAATTGAGTTAGGAACTCTTTGGTCTTAAAAATATTGCATAAGTTATATTAAAATACTATTTAATACTTTAAATACTCGAGACTTTGGCCCTTAAATACCAAATAAGATAGTGTTGATGGATTCCATGATAAAGCTGTTAGGGTAGTTGATGATTATTGTTGCTGAGGCCGGGTGTTTTTTATTCTCCAAGATTCTTTACTGAGGTTTGCATGTTTTAAATAAAGTAATCAGAAATTCATATGTAGGGGCTTACTGCATTGGAGAAAACAGCCCATGTCTAGCAGATGTAAAGGTTTTTTCAGTCCGTCAATGCATCTGTCTTTTCATAACCATCTGTTACCCAGCAGCACCATCTCTTATTTCCAGCAAGCTTCCTACATGTGTGTGCAACTGACTGCCATCTCCACTAAGGGGAATAGAGCAATAAAACCCTTTCAGCTCTCAACTTTTGAAATAAATAGCCTTTTAACGAGACTTTAAAAGGCATCATTATTAGCAGATTTTATATATATATATATATATATATATATATATATGACCATTTCCCAAGCAATACATAATGCACGTTGCATTCGAATCTTAATCTGCTCATCCAAATGGTAAAGAAGGTTCTGGCAAGGTCCATGTATGGAGCTGAAAGTGTTCCTTGAGTAGTATTTCTGCCATTGTGTGTATTGTTCTGTGGTCATGATGTCAACATCTTTTTCATCCCTAAGAAGAAGAAACGCTAGAGGGAACAATGGCTGAGGAAGAGACACCTGCCACTCTTCCTGGGAAAGAGTGCGGGGCTACCAAGGCCTCAGACCAACCCCAGGCCCTCAGGGAGGGCCACGTGGAGTCTAGTGCGGAGGCTCACATAGCTCCTGAAGAGAGTGCCCCAGCAGGGCCCCCACAGGAGAAAAGTGTAAAAGAGGTCACGGAGGTGTCTCCAGAAGTAACAATTCCTTCCTCTGCCAGGGAAGGTGTGTCTTTCCTAGGATTTGCATGTGTTTTGTTGCAAATGATCTCTTCAGCAGCTTACCGACCTGACGCCTTTCCAATGCTATTCCATGGCTTGGTCTCCTCATGATCCGAGACCAATGTTGTAGGGTTAATGAGCAGAGTGTGGCTTGCACAGGTGCTGTGTGGCAGCTAGGTTTTCCAATGCTGCAGCTGAGTCTTGGTTTTACTTTGCCCTGATACAGTACGCTTTGCAGCCAGGCTGACGATGCTGTGTGAGCTTTTTGTCCGCCCCCCCCCACCCCTCCCCCGCCTCATCTCCAAGTGTTTGCCAGCCACATTGCTAATACATGTATATTTTATTTTTATTTTTGGGACAGCGATTCATATGCTTTTCTTTCAAACTGTGGAGTTGGATTTTGGCACCTAGAAGCTTAAATGGTAGAATTGTTTTTGTTTGCAACCGCAATGTGCTATATTTTTTATGCTCTGATGAATACTGGTTTGGTTTCCTTAAAAGCTCCTGCTGATGCTTCTCATATCACTTCCTCTCCATGGCAGCCAACATCTTTGACCATCACCATATCTCTTGAGTTTTCATTCATCTAACCTCTATTAGAAGTTCATAAAGTATTTCTTTCCTACTGTTCCAACAGGACACACAAGTGTATAAGGTAATGCTGATCCGTACACTTGCTCTGGGAGCAATGACTGAATTTTATTATTTGTCCCCAAATCTTTTCCAGATAGTTATATTTAGCCCTAATGACCACAGTGAGACACCTGTGACCTTCAAACACAGTGAGACACCTGTGACCTTAAAACACAAGTGAGATTTCTGGTTGGTGAACAAATGAAAATAAAGAGCCTTTTAATTTCTGGGAAGCATCTTTAAAGCCACTACTTAGTGCCTCGCTGTCGGTCATGTTCCAGGGAATGAGGTCATGACCAGGAAGAGAAAGATATTATAATTGGTTCTTTTTAAAACTTTTATTCACATGACATCCCAGTATTTTTTTAAGACTTTTATTTATTTATTTATTTATTTATTATTTCTTACCAAGTATTAACAATATAATTCAGATTTTCTTATATCTGTCGTAAGTTTAACTAATGATTAGGAATTTACAATGTTGAATTTGTGGTAGAAATCACCTTGTCAATTTTTAGGTCCTATCATTTAAAGTTAATAGCAGATATTTACTTATATTCCTGAAATTTAATCTCAGATGACTCCTAAAAAAATTATGTCAGTAAATTTTCCATGGTCAAAAACTTGATCCTGGCATTTGTAAATCAACTAACTTGATTTTAACATAATACTTACTAAGAATGAATTGGCCTTCTGCCCATGGCCTGCCGATTCATTTTTAAATAAGAACACAAATGAAAAAGTTCAGTAGACATTCATCCATTTTTCATATTTAGTCCTTAATGTATTTTTGTACCTAATATTACTGACTTATTCAGTATTCTTTAATTTATCATTTTTGTCACAGGAGGCACATGAAATTTTTTTGCTACTGCAATACACAGTACATAGTATTTAGGAGAGCCCAAACAAAGGAGAAAAAAGTATTCAAAATACCCAATTCCTGTATGCATTAATTTGCAACAGGAGTCCATTTCAGCAGTAGGACAAATATATCTCAGTCCTGACATTTCCATATTGATTTTTAAATGGGTAGCATGCTTGCATGTTCCATAGTTTTGTTTTGTTTTCTTACCCTACCATTCATTTGTCATTTCAAAATATAATTTGAAGCTTACTGCCTGAAAGCACTTGCCTATTATTTGTTTAAAAATCAACCCAATTACTTCAGGTTTACTTCCAGCCTCGAAGATGGAGTTCCATGATCAACAGGAGTTGACTCCCTCTCCAGCTGAGCCATTAGACAAGAAGGACAAGGAGTCAGAGAAACAAAGTAAGCCTGGTGAAGACCTTAAACATGCTGCCTTAGTTTCTCAGCCTGAGACAACTAAAATTTCTCCTGACAAAAAGGACATGCAAGGCCCAGAAGAAGAAAAAACACCTCTCACTCTATTTGGGCATACTTTTGGTGCCGGGCTCGAAGACACGAAACAGAAGACAGAACCAAGCCTCGTGGTGCCTGGAATTGGCCTCTCTGCAGAGCCCCCAGCTCCAAAAGAGCAAAAGGACTGGTTCATCGAAATGCCAATGGAAGCCAAAAAGGACGAGTGGGGTTTAGCTGCTCCCATCTCGCCTGGCCCCCTCACCCCCATGAAAGGAAAAGATGTCCTCGAGGATATCCCCAGATGGGAAGGGAAACAGTTTGATTCTCCCATGCCCAGTCCCTTTCAGGCTGGCAGCTTCACTCTTCCTTTAGATGTCATGAAGAATGAAATCGTTGCAGAAGCATCGCCCTTTGCCCCTGCCCTATTACAAGCCGATGACAAAAAATCTCTGGAAGAAACCAGTGGCCCAGCAACTGCCAAAGACAGTTCTAAAGCTCAAGAGCCCCACAAGGACAAACCTGACAAAATGGCAGAAGCACCAGCCCCAGAGGCAATCACCTTACCCAAAGACACCCACATTCCAACCATGGAAGAATGTGTCCCAGGGACAGTTTTAGGAGAGGAGAACGGGGCGATGAAGCTCGAGAGCGCACAGAAAAAAGAGCAGGATGCGGGGCTCCCTGAAAAGGAATCTGTGCTGAAGCTTGAAGAAAAAATAACCATTTCTGACACAGAAGCCATGCCGAAGGAGAGTGAGCCCCCGAAACTGACAGATGGCGAAACGGGCATTATTCAGCCCTGCATGGAGCACACCCTCTCAAAAGAAGAAGAGAAAGGCCACGAGCCTACCACAGAGCCATTAAAACAGGACTCATTCCCTGTCCGTTTGGAGCAAGCAGCGACAGACTCAGCTGTGACCTCTAAGACGCCGGAGAAAGTCACGACCGCACCGGCTGCAGTCCATGAAAAGAGTGCAGCCCAGGACCTTTTTGAAGACAAAGTTGCAGACAAAGATATTAAGCTGGAAGGGGTTGGGGCGGCAGCCACAGCCGAGCTCGACGTGCCGTTTTATGAAGATAAGTCGGGAATGTCCAAGTATTTTGAAACATCTGCCTTAAAAGATGAAGTGACAAAAAGCATCCAGCCAGGCAGTGATTACTATGAACTAAGTGACACCAGAGAAAGCGTCCCAGAGTCTTTCGAGACCGTACCTCCCGTGTGTAAAAACGGAGACCAGGGACTGCAGGCGGCTAAAGAACCCCAGCCCAGTCCCCCGGCACAAGAGACAGGGTACAGCACTCTTGCACAGAGTTATCCGTCTGATTTGCCTGAAGAACCCAGTTCTCCTCAAGAAAGAATGTTTACTATCGATCCAAAAGTGTATGGGGAGAAGCGGGACCTCCACAGTAAGAATAAGGACGACCTGACGCTGAGCAGGAGTTTAGGACTCGGTGGGAGGTCTGCAATAGAACAACGGAGCATGTCCATCAATTTGCCCATGTCTTGCCTGGATTCCATAGCCCTTGGATTTAACTTTGGTCGGGGACACGATCTCTCTCCTCTGGCTTCGGATATTCTAACCAACACCAGTGGAAGCATGGACGAAGGGGAAGATTACCTTCCAGCCACAACACCCGCCCTGGAGAAAGCCCCCTGTTTCCCTGTGGAAAGCAAAGAGGAAGAACAGTCAGAGGGGGAAAAAGCTGCTGGGCAGCAGACTACTCAAGTTGAGACCTCCTGTGAGTCACCTTTCTTAGCCAAAGATTATTACAAAAATGGTACTGTCATGGCGCCTGACCTGCCTGAAATGCTAGATCTGGCAGGCACAAGGTCAAGATTAGCTTCCGTGAGCGCAGATGCTGAGGTGGCCAGGAGGAAGTCAGTCCCGTCGGAGACTGTGGTTGAGGAGAGTGTGACCGGCTTGCCCCCTGTCACCGATGAAAACCATGTCATCGTAAAAGCAGATAGTCAGCTTGAAGAGCTGGGTTACTGTGTGTTCAATAAATACACAGTCCCACTCCCCTCACCCGTTCAAGACAGTGAGAATTTGTCAGGGGAGAGTGGCTCCTTTTATGAAGGCACTGATGATAAAATGCGAAGAGATCTAGCCACAGACCTTTCCTTGATCGAGGTAAAACTGGCAGCTGCCGGGAGAGTCAAAGATGAGTTCGGTGCTGAGAAAGAAGTGTCCCCGCCTATCTCTGGTGACAAATCGGGACTGGGTACGGAGTTCGATCAAGAGGGGAAAGCTAATGATAAGCTGGATACTGTATTCGAAAAGAGCAAAGAACATGCTGATGCGGAAGAACACGCCAAGGCGACAGAAGAGGCCAGTGATAAAGTTGAAACATTTGGATCAGGGGTGACCTACGAGCACGCTTCCACCAAAGAACCGACCGGATCAAAAGACGCGTCCCCTCCCGCGGCAGAGAAAGCCGAGAAAGGTCTTAGTTCAGTGCCAGAAGTAGCTGAGGTTGAACCGTCCAAAAAAGCTGAACCAGAACTGGATTTTGTTGCCAAGAAAGCTGACCAGGGTCCATTAGATGTGCAAATCAGTGACTTTGGACAGATGGCGGCAGGGCTGACTGTCGATGCGGGAAAGGCAACAGAGCTTAAGCTCGAGGCTGCACAAGATCTCATCCCCTTATCTCCAGCACCTCAGGAGGCAGATGCATTTATGAGTGTTGACTCTGGCCACCTAAAAGAAGGCGTTAAGGTCAGTGAGACGGAGATCAAGGAGAAGGTGGCCAAGCCGGACCTGGTGCACCAGGAGGCTGTAGACAAGGAAGAGTCCTACGAGTCCAGCGGTGAGCATGAGAGCCTCACCATGGAGTCCTTGAAAGCCGATGAGGGCAAAAAGGAAACCTCCCCAGAGTCCTCTCTCATTCAAGATGAGATCGCCATCAAATTGTCGGTAGAGATACCCTGCGCACCCGCTGTTTCGGAGGCTGACTTAGTCCCAGATGAGAGAGCGGACGTCCAAATGGAATTCATTCAGCAGCCAGAAGAAGAAAGCCAAGAGACCCCAGATATCTCGGTCACGCCCTCCGGCGTCGCAGAGCCCTTCCTGGAAGCCACCGGGGCTGCACCCGCGGAGGCTCAGAGCGAGGAAGAAGAGATAGAAGCCCGGGGAGAGTATGATAAACTGCTCTTCCGCTCTGACACCCTTCAGATTACCGACCTGGGCGTCCCAGGGGTCAGGGAGGCATTCGTGGAGACCTGTCCCGGTGAGCACAAAGGCGTGATTGAGTCCGTTGTGACCATCGAGGATGACTTTATCACCGTGGTGCAAACCACGACGGATGAAGGGGAGTCGGGTTCGCACAGCGTGCGTTTTGCAGCCCTGGAGCAGCCTGAGGTGGAGAGGAGACCGTCCCCCCGTGCCGAAGAAGAGCTCGAAGTGGAGGAGGCAGCCGAAGCCCAGGCGGAACCCAAGGAGGGCTCCCCGGAGGCTCCAGCTTCCCCTGAGAGAGAAGAGGTGGCCCTCTCGGAGTATAAGACGGAAACCTATGACGATTACAAAGACGAGACCACCATTGATGACTCCATCATGGATGCTGACAGCCTCTGGGTGGACACTCAAGGTGTGCATTTTTTTAAAATTTTCTACTTCCAAATAAAATCCGATAACCTAGTGGATTTCTTTCTTGTTTTAAACATATTTAAATGTCTCTTTTATCTCTATTTTGCATTTTGTTAAATATATGAAGGATTTGGTACATTTGTTACTAATGTTTTCGCTGTTGTTGTTGTTGTTATTGTTGTTGTTGTTGTTGTCATGGTTTGCTTTGATCCGCAGATGATGATAGGAGCATCATGACAGAACAGTTAGAAACTATTCCTAAAGAGGAGAAAGCTGAAAAGGAAGCTCGGAGACCATCTCTTGAGAAACATAGAAAAGAAAAGCCTTTTAAAACCGGGAGAGGCAGAATTTCCACTCCTGAAAGAAAAATAGCTAAAAAGGAACCTAGCACAGTCTCCAGAGATGAAGTGAGAAGGAAAAAAGGTTCATTTCACCATAACTTCTTTAAAAATGTTTTTGAATTCATTATTACTCTTTTGTAGAAGAAACTTCCTAACAGTGGTAACTAATTATTTGTGAAATTCCGTTCGGTTTGGCTCCAAGTGTTTATTTTCTCCTGATGGTATGCTTTTTTGTGTTTTCTTTATTCGTAGCAGTTTATAAGAAGGCTGAACTTGCTAAAAAAACAGAAGTTCAGGCCCACTCTCCCTCCAGGAAATTCATTTTAAAACCTGCTATCAAATATACTAGACCAACTCATCTCTCCTGTGTTAAGCGGAAAACCACAGGTGACTCTTCAGTTCTGCAATGTGGCTGGCAAACATAGACATGTTTTTTTTTTTTTATCTCATTCCTGTAGCAGCTTCTTCATTTTGTTTTTCTTCCAAGAATCTTAGCAGTCATGAACAATTTTGCTATTAAATGTCTTGTATCATTATTCTTTTTTTTTTTTTTTTCCTCCCTGCAGAAGAGGTCATGACCATCTGTTTCTTTGTCATGCTCAGACTTAGCAGTGATTTTATCTTGGCATTGTGCTCTAGTGTCACGTTCTGGGGATTCCTCTTTTCATTCTGTGTGTTTGGTTAGACGATGACGATGAATATAACCGTGGTATGCATTCTCATTATTTTGCTTATTTATCTCTTTCATGCTTAAACCCATACTATATTTGTCCTTTTTTCTACATGGTTACTGCCAAATCTGTTACTGATGTTGATGAATTTGCCAAGAATGGGTAGTGATTTCAAGATTGAAAATGAAAAGCAAATCTGGGGTAAAATTGTGATTGCAAAATTACTTTGCTTCAGATGAAAGGGAAAAAAAAAGATGAAATTGCCTGCTCATCCTGTTAGATTTTATTCCTCATATCCAAAATTAGCAAGGCTTTCAATTCACTGTACTACGTCTCCTCACTGACAATTTGTCATTGGGATTTTCTTAAATGTGTTGGATTCAAACTGCTAATTTTTCCATATAATTTAATATTCAGAATTCCCAGATAAATCTCCTTCCCCCAGAATTTCTTAGAACTTAGGTGTATTTCTCTGTTGCCATCTTCTTATTTTTCTGTCTTCTTCAAATATACGTGTTTTTAATTTCTTAAAAAAGTGATGAAATGAAGGAGTGAAACTTACTACAAATCACAATAAAAGCTCATACAAATATCTATAATGCAAATTCTATTCCTAAATTTCAGTGGAAAGTATTCATTTTAATGTATAATTATCCCAGGATAATCTTAATTTGCAATGTATTTTATTGTATCATTTATTAGGTAGCACAGTTGCAAGCTACAAAATTAGATATCAAATTGCTAAATCAGGTAAATGTAATTTACCTTTACATTGTATATTAGAAGTGCCTTTATATAAGGGTAAAAAAAAAAAAGAGTACCTTTATATAAACCTTCTGATGGCTTTAATGATTAAGAGCAGCATTAACCTTTGTAAGAAAAAGAAAATCAAGGTAACCTATGGTTTTATGATAGTCAATAAAATTTCAAGTATTCTGTGTTGTTCATATGGGAATCATCTCATGAGCTTTCCTCCAAGAACTAATCTTTAAGGCAATATTTGAAAGTGGATGGCTCATAAATTATACAGAAACCTTGATGATAAAAGTCCAGGATGAAAAGTGTTTCTCAGAAATTGATATGACATCTCCAATTCTTCTATTCTAATTTATTTGCTTTTATTTTGGAATTTTACTTCTAATTAGACAAATGCTTGAACAGGCAGACTCTCTTGGTTGGGCATAAAAATCCTATATCCTGTATAAGAGGATGAAAGAATATATCAGTATTATGGAATTTTGGAGGAAACATCAAATGTTTTGGTGAAGTGTTTGACATGTTATTGGTATTCAGTTTACCACACTGAGAATGAATTGCCTTTTTAACTCATTCATTAAAGGAAATTTAAGATCTTTGGACTAATTAGGATCTTCCCTTAGTCTGTTCAAATATTAAAATACTCAAGCAGATAGCATCTACCGAACATGGATCTTATTGGCTTGAAGCAAATGGTATGTCACAGAAATTTAAGAAATATTACAGAACTATTAGTAAAGCATTATTTACACTACTTCTTAAAAAAAAAAAAATCATTCCAGAGTCTGTGAATAATCTTACTGGCTAGTCCTAAATAGCATATAGCATCTTGTAGACAGTTATATTGGTGTTAGAGTTGCACGTGATGTAAGAATCCTTTTTGAAATTCATTTGGAGTCCTTATAAGCATAAGCTTCCCCTCCCCCCCGGGATTTTCTCTTTTCTGAAAGAAAATAGGAAGAGGTAACTATACAAGCTTGTGCCTTACGTTCTCTAAGAACAATTTTTAAATAGGGATAGTTTTTCCAAAACTCAAAGGATTGTTTTCAATCATGAGAAATATTCGAGTCAAGTCAGGTAAGTCATCAACAGAAAATGTGCTGGAGATAGTGGAGTTTAAAACTGAAACCAGAGTTATAAAACAGCACCAAGAGAAACAACAGTAACAGATGTGGTAATAATTTCATACAGGAAGTGCATGTGTAGAACATGTTCTGTATTACTGAACTCAAAATTCCTCTCGTGTTTTCTTTCCTTGACAAGCTATTTTTCTTCTCATGTGGTACGTTTCACGTCAAACAAGTGTGTCATTTATATTGTGAAATGAAGGGGTACAGAGGGAAAGGGGTTGGCTGAGTTTGGAATAAGAAATGTAGGAATATCTGTGGGTATGCCATTGGCTACAAAAAGAGGGCTTGGGAATCTCCATGAACACTCTTTAATATCGTGCCAACCCTAGAAACTAATCACTCCCCCTTTTATTAAATTCTACAGCATTGGATTGTTGTTCTGTGACTTTCGTTCTAAAGGATCTATGCTCGTGTAGTAACAGTATTTAGAGGTACCGTGGTAACCAATAGGAAATTATTTGGTGTGCTTACCTGTGCCTTGGTACACCTGGGTTATATTAATTAGCACACACTAAAGCGGGAGCCACATGCTAGAATGTTCTTATTCAGGTTTCTTCAGTTACTCAATTCGAATCTCAAAATAAGCAAAATTTTGCTTTGCATTATTCGGTTGACACAATTGAGTATCCAAAAGATACTGAAAAATTCATTTGTGTGGTTGTTAAGTCACTAAGTTTGGGGTTGTTTTTATCTTCTTTTTTTGACAGCAACAGGTGGTGAATCAACTCAGGCTTCCAGTGTATTTAAACAGGCAAAGGACAAAGTCTCTGTGAGTAAAATAATTTTTTCTTTCTTGCTTTTTGCTTGAAGTTCCCTTTGGTATTGGTGGCAACATCTCAATAACTTTAGATATAAAGTAGACTTCAGATGTTTACTCTTAAATATAATTTTAAATCATTCACTCACCCACAATGATTCTTGGTGACATTGGGGCATGTCTCAATGTCTTCTGGAATGACATGTGATAGCAGTTGCTGAGGGCAGAGCTGGGATGTAGGCTGCCTCTTTTTTAGTAAAATGGAAACAAATGATAATCTGGAAAAATAAGGGAACTCAATTTATTTACTTTTCACAGAATTGAGATAAATCATTATGATCAACACTAAACTGTATTTGATGTACATTTTCATTATTGTTACTACAAAATAAGAATATGAGAAAATTAAACAACATCGATGAGCAACTATAAGTAAAAATGTATCATAATCCTTTTACCTAAAGAAAACTACAGTAACCATTTTGATGTAAAATCTTTATTTTTCTCTACTCATTTTTAGGTATATTAACATAAATGGAAACACTGCATCAGTTTTTTAACTAAACAATAAACAGATTTCCCTGTCGTTAAACATTCTCGTGCATCACTTTAATGACTACATTGCATTGTGTTTTATTTATTTATAGTGATATACTTATTCAATTCCTTATTGTTTGACTTTTAAACTATTTTTATTACCATTTTAACAATATTACTGTAGAAATCTTTTTGGCTTAATCTGTGATTGCATCCATATGCTTTTCCTTAGGATAATTTCCTAGTAGTGAAATTACTGTTTTAAGAAGAAAGCCTACATTTAAAGTTTTGCTATACATTGTCAAGTTGTCCTCCAGAAAGGTTCTACTGACTTATACGTAGATATAAGTCAAAGATACAAATGTAGTGATCCGAAGGGGCACCTGCATCCCAAAGTTTATAGCAACAGTGTCCACAGTAGCCAAGCTATGGAAAGAGCCCAGGTGTCCATTGACAAATGAATGCATAAAGAAGATGTGATGTATATACAATGGAATATTACTCAGCTATCAAAAAAGTGAAATCTTGCTATTTGCAACAACATGGATGGAACTAGAGGGTATTATACTAAGTGAAGAAAGTGAATCAGAGAAAATCATTTATATGATCTTACTCATATGTGGAACTGAAGAAACAAAAAAAGAGGAGTATAGGGGAAGGGAGGGAAAAATAAAACAAGACGAAATTAGAGGGGGAGACAAACCATAAGAGACTCTTAATCATAGGAAACAAACTGAGGGTTGCTGGAGGGGAAAGGGTGGTGGGTGGGGTAACTGGATGATAAACATTAAGGAGGACATGTGATACAATGAGCACTGTGTATTATATAAGACTGAATCACTGAGTTCCACCTCTGAAACTAATAATACACTATATGTTAATTGAATTTAAATTAAAAAAATAAAAATAAAAGGGTTAAGAAAAATAAATTAAAAGCTGTTTAGATTTTAGATTTCCATTTTTTTACTGTGAAAAACAGAAATTCCTTTCCAATGACAGCCAAACTTTTTATATCATTTTGAATCTAAGGGACTTCATGTTAATTTAAAAAATTGATTTTTATATAATGTTTTCAGACATATTCCTGAACATACAGCAAGCAATAGAATTCATATATTGCTTTGGTAAATATTGGGCTTGAGAATACTGTGACTTCAAGATTTCTTTCTCTTTACCTCTTGTTTCTGATGGGGAACAAGTGAGTTGTGTTGGTTGAGAGCAGAGTTATGAAGCAGATCAGTTCCAGGTCTTGAACATTTATTAGCTATATGATCATTTTCTCCATATGTCTTAATTTTCCAAAAATACAAGGGGGAATAAAAATTCCCATATCCTAAGTTAGTTATGAAAATTAAATATGGTTAATTATAAAACAGTATACTGTATAGTGCCTAGAGCATAGTATTTATTCAATAAACAGTGATAGTTATTGTTGTTGCTGTTATTTAAAAGGTCAAAGTCTTTAGGAGCGGATATAGAAAGTAAGTCAGGTTTCTCCCATTTAAAAAACATTTTTAATTGGACATTGTTCAGAAAAGCTTTTTTTTGAACTTTTAATTATTTTTTGACTTTTAATTCCAGTTAGTTAACATATGGTGTAATCTTAGGTTTGGCTGTACAATATAGTGATCCAACACTTCCATCCACCACCTGGTGCTCATCACACACAACAAGGGCACTTTTTAATCCCCATCACCTATTTAACCCATTCCCCCGCCCACCTCCCCTCTGGAAACCCATCAGTTTGTTCTCTATAGTTAAGAGTCAGTTTCTTGGTCTCTCTCTCTCTCTTTCTGCCTCTTTTGCCCATTTGTTTTGTTTGCTTGAAAAATATTTAGGAAATTTTCAAGTCCCTTTTTCATCAAGTAACCTAACGAGAAATTGTGTTTGATGCTTACACTTAGGAAAAAAATCATGTACATCTTCTGACACAAAGCTAATGTTTTGTTTTGTTTTTTTCCTTATAAATGCCCATCTCACCTTTCTGAAGAAGAGAGATTAGGCCACGATTCCTTCTAACTTTTTCTCATTTAACATTTATTTTCTTCCCTCATAACTTCACCCTCTTCTTAAAAATTTCCTAAAACCACTATCATATGATCTCCCTGATATGAGGGAGAGGAGATGAAACATGGGGGGTTAAGAGGGTAGGAGAAGAGTAAATGAAACAAGATGGGATTGGGAGGGAGACAAACCATAAGTGACTCTTAGTCTCACAAAACAAACTGAGGGTTGATGGGGGGAGGGGGGGTTAGGGGGTGGGGTTACGGACATTGGGGAGGGTATGTGCTATGGTGAGTGCTGTGAAGTGTGTAAACCTGGCGATTCACAGACCTGTACCCCTGGGGATAAAAATATATGTTTATAGAAAATAAAATTAAAATACAAAAAAAAATTTCCTAAAATCCCAAGACCAACTCTTATTTATCTGTGATTTCAGTACATGCATCAGAACAATCCTTTGTGATTTTTCAATTGATCTTTATTGTGAACCTGACCTATAATTCTTCATTTCATTTGTTGTGTATTTGTTGTGTTTTGGTTTTGTTCTGAGCAAGTTGTCTCTCTTAATTTGAGTTAATGCAATTATTCAATTTTTTTCTTTCCTGTATGACTTTTGAAATTTGCTGTTCTGTGGCTAGCATTAATTAGAGAAGAAAGACCTGGGTCAGCCCAGGCCCACCAGCCACACAGGACACTGGGTCTATAAAAGAAGAAGTGATGCGTGCAGTCTGTTAATGGGTCTGCCTCCATTAAAGTGCCTGTGGAACTTAAAACTTGAGATAAAGCTGTCAATCTCAACTGATGTTTTTGTAACAGCTATATCATATTAATTATTGAAGACAAGATATTCTTGGGTTCATCGTCCCTTTCTGTATTTTTAACAAAGTCCCCCCATGAGACATGTAGCATGTGAGCATTAGTGTCCTTCCAAAGCCATTCATCCAACCCACTGATTTTCACTTGCTGACTATCTCTCAAGGGACTATCGACACCTGGAAATAGTGGTTTTCATGGGCAATATCTTTAATGCTAACTTTCATTTTTAGAATTTCTAACACATTATACAAACTGTGGTCTATGCATAAAAATGTTACTAATTCTATAGGATAACTTGGCCCCAAGTAGGCATTTTACTCATAAAATGAACTAATTTTATATAAAATCTGTGATTTTCTGATGAAGTCAATATAGATATCTGAAAATGTATTTTCTCAACTTTAAGAAAGTATTTTCCATTATGAAGTCTTAAATATACCTTGTTCTAAAGTTCTTGAAATGTGATCAAGACATTGATTATAAATATACCTCCAAGGTTATATTTATTAAAGGAATAATTCCAACCAGCTCTCAAGATGCTTTCCAAATACAATATCATTGGGAGACTTATGGATTAACCGGAACTTATATGTAGAATTCATGAAGAATATTTTGGTCTATATTCTCATATATGAATATTCTTAAGTTAGTTCCAGTTAAAAATGAGTTACTCAATGAAAATCTCTTGTTCTAACATAAATATATATTTCTAGTATTGATTATAATCATTTATCATGTGCTCTTATTAAAAGTAGGCATTTAATTTCTTATATGTTTATACATTTTTTTTAATTTTCCGTTTATTTCATAGTTTGGTTTATTTTGTGATTTTGTTTGTTTTCTTTCATGGCTAGAATTCTACCTTGTCAAAGATTCCTGCCTTACAGGGTAGCTCAAAGTCCCCAAGATCCAGTTCTGCTTGCCTTAGTACGTCTCAAAGGGCTTCATTTTCTGACAGTTTTTCAATACAGTCCACCTCAGCAGGCTCCACAGACCGTTTGCCATACTCAGAATCAGGGAACAAGGTAAGGCAGCAGGTCAACTGAAGGTTCAGAAAAGAAAATAATTTTGGAGGTTATAAGACACAATTCAGTAAATATATAAAAAACAAAGACTAAACTTTAAAATATTTGACATATAAACCATAAACCCTCTTAAACACGAATGAAAGCCTCAATAGTTATTAATAATCAATCAGTAAAAAAAAAGTCTCTTTCTAGGTAGACGGTTCATTTTTATTTATTTATTTATTTATTTATTTGGTGTTTTGTAGAATTTCAAACACAAACCAATAAAATAAAATGTATTCTATATAATACTACACATATTATATGTAATAAATATATATTACTCATAGTATATAATATATAATATTGTAACATCTAATAATGGCAAATTATATATAATATAATATACCATTTGGACTCAGTCAGACACATCAGGATTTAATACTCCCTCTGCTACTTATCAACTCGGTGATCTTGGAAAAATTACGTAAATGAATTCAGCCTGTTTCCTTGGCTATAAAATGCACATAGTATTTTGTGGCAAGAATTAAATCATAAATGGATGTAACGTACTTAGAATTCCAATCACATAATGGACATAAGTGGTCATTGTTAATTGGTATGCATGCAATGCCCCTTGACAGCCCTTTCTGATTAATAAGTTATTATGCTAATGAAGATTTTTTTAGTAAAATTATTAATTCACTGGAGATTACTTGAGTAAATTCATTTTACCCATTTATTATTTAGAATTTGAATTTCATTATCAATTATTAGAACTAACTCCAAAATAATATATTTTATAAAACTTCTAGGCAAATATAAACTCTTTCTAAGTTTCAAAGTAGAAATGCTTATAAATATATGAAATTCAGTAGTGTATATTAAAAGAAATTTATCTATCAGCACAAGAGGAAAAATAGAGCAATGTAATCACTTGGTGTAATTGAAGATTGACAAAAATCCAATTTTTTTTTCCCCCAATCAGGATGGAGTAACCAAGAGCCCAGAAAAGCGCTCTTCTCTGCCCAGACCCTCCTCCATCCTCCCTCCTCGTCGTGGTGTGTCAGGAGACAGAGATGAGAATTCTTTCTCTCTCAACAGTTCCATCTCCTCTTCAGCACGGCGGACTACCAGTAGGTTTATTTTCATTTGGTTTCCTTTTTAATCCTTTAAGTGGCATAGGGCTTATTATGTGTTTATATTTTACATCTTCCAAGGAAAACACACACTGAGAACAGATTATATTTCCTCCAGGAATCAGAAAATCAAACTATTGATGGATCCAAAACACCTGTGTGAGTTAAAATGATTGTTGTGGAAAATGAGACCTACAAAGAAGTAATTAATCGAGAAAACCAATAGTCAGGAATTTTTAAAAATATAAATCTATGAGCTTAACCCTTCTTAGGAATCCAAGTCCTAAAATCTTACTGGAGACCCAATAATCAAAACCTCAGATTCTGCTCAATTTGTTAAGAATTTGCATTCCAATGAGGGTTTACACATAACATGTTCAGAGCAATAGTTTTAGTTTCTTTTGATTGATGGCCTGTAATGAACTGGTTGGCAGTTATCACAGTTTAAATAAAAAATACAAAAATGTTCCAATCATTACCCACTCAAGAGTTGTGTTACTACCAAGATTATCTAGTTAAAGCATGGATTCAAATTATTTTCATAAACATGTTTCTATTACAACAAGAATAGTTACCATTTATTGAGCACATATAGATGCTAAAACCTGAAGACACATTTTTCATTCAATTTAAATAACAGTGCTGACGGTAAGGTATTAATAACCTCATTAAATCTACTGATAAGAAAAAAGAGAGTAACTTGTCCAATGCTACCAAGATAGAAAGTGGTTGAATTTGGTTTACAGCCCACTGATAACTTCACAACCTGACCTCTTAATATCTTCTTTATATTTATTTGGAAGAAATAGTACTAGGAAACTGCTATGTAGAATCACTTGGAGAATATAATCTCTGTCATTTAAAATCCATTAAAAATGGTAGAAATTGCAACTACTATCTTATTATACTTGATTTTACCACTTAATTCTTAGAACATTTAATAATAATTGGCCCACTTCAAATGTGACTATTTTGTATGGCACTTAAAGCATGTTTTTTGCCTAAAGTGAAAGTGTTTATTGTATTTGGAGCAGTTGTGACCTACACACCACTTAGTTTCATGAAAAATTAACTCTCTTTGAAATACGTGCCAGCAATATTTTAAAATCACTAAACTCTTTCGTAATGAAAATATTCAAACAAACTAGCAAAGAAGGCATTTAAGAGAGTAATCTCTTGAGAAAAGACCTCAACTCCAAATATATGGAGTTGGAATTGGGCATCAGTAATACAGAAGCTGTTCAGATAACTAACTTTAAATTATGCTTCTATTTGTGGTTATGGAAGCAAAATGGCATTTTATCCATAAATCCACATCTTCAAACCACTGTGCTCTGCCTTTTAAAGTGCATCTGCATACAAATTGTTTTTATTTTTGAACCACTTCTATTTTGACTTTCTAACTCATATGCATAAGCATAATGTATTTTATTATGCGGTAATGAACATAATTCATACTCTGATAATCTCAGGGCATAGGGTTTATTTTCTCTCTATCTAGCAATAACTAAAAAGCATAAGGACAACTAGAAGAGCAAGCAATATGCCTCCTCCCGTTTGCCCATCATCTCTGTAACTGCACATAGACATGTCATGGCATTTTGTGCAGCTATTGAAAAGCACTGAGAGAAACAAAGCTAGGCAGTTAGCCCAAGTGGAGAGAAAGGCATTGTCATTGAGGAGTTGACAAGATTAGTAAGAACCAAGATTAATAAGCTTAACAAAGTAATTCGTGAATATGTATTTTTCATAAATATTTTTTAAACTGTTTTATTAATTCAGATTTAACTCGGTTTCGGAACAAATAGGAAATGCTCAACTTTGTCGTTTTGAAGACAAAAATTCAATTTATTACACTAAAAATTGATTGTATCTGTTGAACAGTGGTGTTAGGGCTTAATGCTTTTGGTTTTTCTTCATTCTTCAAATGTAACACAAAACCTTCATTCCTTAGTTTTCTGAAGTTTAACTCCGTTTTCTGTGAGTATAGAAATGACACTTACTTTAAAAAATTTTATTTCTTTTAAGGAAACTTGTTATGCACATGCAGAATATTGCTTCAGCTTAGTCTCCATGAAGTAAAAAACACCTCAACACACTGATGAATTCTGAATCCAATTTGTACTATTAAAAAAGAAAATATGTTGAACTTCTACTATGTTCAGGTCCCATGAAAGGCATCAATGTTAGGTACAGTGACAAATAACAGAGAGAATATCCTGTTCCCCAAAAGACCTGAGCTTGTAATATTAATAAGAATATTAATATTAATAGTCTTACTAATATTAATATGACTTCATCACCTTCATCATCATGACACCAATGTCATGATGAAAACATTTAAGGAAGAAATGAAGTTTCTGAAGAGATTTTTCTTTGTTTTTTTTAATGATGTTATTTATTTATTTGACACAGAGAGATCACAAGTAGGCAGAGAGGCAGGCAGAGAGAGAGGGGGAAGCAGGCTTTCTGCTTGAGCAGAGAGCCCGATGCGGGGCTAGATCCCAGGACCCTGGGATCATGACCAGAGCCTAAGGCAGAGGTTTTCACCCACTGTGCCACCTGGCGCCCCTGAAGAGATTTTTCTGAAGGACACAGTGACTGACTCGAACATCAAAAACTCAGTCCAAAAACAAACTGTATACAAAGGAAGTTGGATGTAGCTGTATCATCCTGGTCTTGAAATATCCTTTTTGTGGAAAGTGAAAAAAATCATAGAACACACACTAATTTATTGCATAGTCTTCTTATATACAATTTCGTATTGTTGGTTGAGGAGTCTACCTATCGTTTGCCCTTACGTTAAAAAAAAAAAAAAAACAAAGGACACAGGGCAACTTTCACTTCATACATAAAAACTGTTCACTGAAAGAAGTGAAATAATTCTTTTTCTTCAGGAGACTGAACCCAGACCAAGGGTACATAAATGTTGCCTGTAGATTATAATTATCTAAGAAGCTCTCTTGAGCTCACTTTTTGTAATTATTTCAGCAATGATTAATTATCCCCTTTCTCAGGAAGAACTTCCCACACCAATGACTCAAAGATCCCTCCCACTTCATTGATTGAAAAGTTAATGAGTTATACCTTTATCCTCTACAAAATTTCTAGAAGATATATTGATCCTACAAAGTATACATACTTAGTAATAAAAAAATAAAATTCATGCCCTTCCTGTAAAATAACCAAAAAAGTGAAGGAATTTGAATAATAAGTGTAAATAATGTAAATAAGTGCCCTATTATTAAAAACAATGTTATTTTAAGCAAAAGATTTTTAAGGCTAAGAAACTAAATATCGTAATGTGGCTTAGAATTTAGTATCATCTGGGTAAATGAGACTCAATGTCCTCATTCTTAAATTAGGAACGATAAGAGCTGTCTCTAACTACTGTGTTTGTTGGTCATCAAATGTTTGGTATTCACAAAAGGGCTTTGAAATCTGTAAGGTGGTGTAGTCTCATCTATAGTGTTACACTTTCAAAAAAGTATTTGAAATGGCATTCAAACACACAGTTACAAAATTAATACGAAAGAAATATAATATAGAAAAATAGGAGGAAGAAGTTAAATAATAAAATGACCCTAAAGTCAAGTTGAGGCAAAGAAATGCATCTCACAATAGCCTGTATAAGTGACAGTGGTGGGGGGGGGGGTTATTAATTTGACTCCAAACTGCAAACTAGTAATGAAAATATAAGAGAAAACAATCAGGCACAAGATTCACTGTGATTATGTTATTAAAACATCCCATTTTTCTCGGGGCACCTGGGTGGCTCAGTGGGTTAAGCCTCTGCCATCGGCTCGGGTCATGATCTCAGGGTCCTGGGATCAAGCCCTGCATCGGGCTCTCTGCTCGGTGGAGAGCCTGCTTCCCCCTCTCTCTGCCTGCCTCTCTGCCTACTTGTGATCTCTCTCTATCAAATAAATAAATAAAATCTTTTTTAAAAAGTTGCATTTTTCTAAGAAGAGAAATAGATATTTTTTGGTATTAAGAGCTGAGCCAAATTTCCATAAAAAGGAAATACATGATACTGTAGAACAATGTCCGATGTAATTGCGTAGATTTTAGTAAACACATTTGTAACTCACAGGATTCTTCAATATAAGCTGAAAGAGTAATGTTGAAATACAATTTAATAAATGACTTTGTACACAGGTCAAAATTATTGCTAGCAGTACACAGTTGTATGTCTACCTGAATCTTGGAATGAACTTATTGCACAAAAGAGCAAGTGATCCACACATCATTCAAGGAAATCTTTAGTAAATACGAACCCACCTAGAATGTGAAGGGCGGACTCTTATGCCAACTTACAGCAGATCTACAGGCCTTAATGATCCCACAAGGATAAAAAATTCTGATGCCTTCGTAATGAGAAGTAAGAAGAAGAAATCAAGAAAACCCAAGTTCTTTCTTTGCTTTGATAGCAATGCATGTTCAAAAATGTCACCAGGTTATAAGCCTAAAAAAAGGAAATTTCACCTTTGGGGGCATTGTTGTAATCCGCAAATCTTCTAAACTCTTTAAAAAGTTCCTGTATTGTGAGTTCTAACAACCTGAGGGAAGAGGATGTCTCAAGAATTTTCTGATGCTGTGGTGTTAGTTTGGTTTGGTTTGATTTGTTTATATAGGGTCAGAGCCAATTCGCAGAGCAGGAAAGAGTGGAACTTCCACACCCACTACCCCTGGATCAACTGCCATCACTCCTGGCACCCCACCAAGCTATTCTTCACGCACGCCAGGCACTCCTGGAACCCCAAGCTACCCCAGGACCCCTCACACACCAGGAACCCCTAAATCTGCCATCTTGGTGCCCAGTGAGAAGAAAGTTGCCATCATACGTACTCCTCCAAAATCTCCCGCTACTCCGAAGCAGCTTCGGCTTATTAACCAACCACTGCCAGACCTGAAGAATGTCAAATCCAAAATCGGATCGACAGACAACATCAAATACCAGCCTAAAGGGGGGCAGGTAAGAATCACATGAACAACATACTTGCTGTCAGAAGTAAAATCCCACTAAAATCCCCTTCCTCACATTATAAATGAACAGTTCTTACCATGAAAGGGGGTTGGAGGTGTTAAAATGTTACTGGTTATGATTCATTGCCAAGAATTTGGATCTCGTCTGAGAAAGCTGGCTTGTAAAATATAATGAAAATCACATGACATATCCATTCCTTCTGGTTATTGGGTAAATTTGATTTCCCCATATAGGAGAATCTTTCCATTGATTCCCTAGCCGATCTTTTCTGAATGTGTCTATTGCACTGTGGACTTTAGCATAAGAGATTAAACTTACATTTCTGATACGAATTTGACTATTGTAGTTTAGATCCTGACTGTGATCTCATTTGAAGATCTTTTAGTGATTTTGCTTTTATCTCCTTCCTTTCTTCATTGATTTCCTATGATATCTTCTACCATTTCCCCATGTTCACTCCCAGATCAACATGGTTCACCAGATTTCTTCTCTGGCAACTCATGTTTAAAAATTGTAAAGGGTGGACATTCATGTTGATAATAGATAGTTCTGAATAGTTCTGATGAATCAAATTATAGGGATTAGAACTTCTCCTTAAGATTAATTGTATTGAAGAGGGTTATTAGTAAAGCTCTACCTATTAATTCTTAACTTTAGCTCCAGTACAAACATTCACATTTTTTTGCCAACCAGGAGCCTTTGAATTTTGCCTTGACCTCAACCTTGCTTCTACACTGTGTGTTTAGATGAAGCAACTAGCTTGGAAGGAGATAATACAAATACCATTTTGTATTTCCTTTGTGATATTGATCTGCCTTTGGGATCATTTGCCTTTTCTTATCACTAAAGAGATAAAACACCCATCTTGAGAGAAAGAAGAAAGAAAGTAATAATTTCCTTTGTACATCAACAAACTTGTGATGCCCTCTCAACATTCCCAAAAGACTTTCTTTTAACTACAGTGTTCTTTTCTGCCACTCTTTGTTGTCTATCTTATATTTTCTGTCACTGATTTTTGGTTTCCCTCTTTCATGCCAAAGAAAATGTATTTTCAGGAAGGTTTAGAAGAAAGATCTTGCCAAAATATGAAGCTATCAAAGAATCCTACTCACTGCTGAAACAAAAATTCAGCATTGCTTCTTCCTTTAGCAACAAACTTCTTTGCTGTCTCTCTGTGATTCTGTTCAAGAAAGCCCAAGGAGTTACGAAAAACTCACCAAAGGAATTGGGGGAAGCAGAGGGTGGTGGTGGTGGTCCATATGCCCTTTGTAGAATGACTAACGTTCTGTAATAATAAAGTCATAGACAAATGCTTTTTCATAAAAAATGTTACTAAAATATGAGCTACAAGAAATCTTTTTAAGCAAAACAAAACAAAAAACTAATTCTGCCAAATTTGATCCTGTGATTTCATAAATCTCATATTGCTCTTGCATTCCTCAGAGTTTTGCACATCCAAGAGAATGAAATATTGGTGCCCTTTTGGAAATATCCAAATATAAAATATTTTTATATAAATAAAACATTGTTTTATTTATATAAAAATGACAGACTAAGTTGAATAAAATCAATTTAGTGCCAACTTGAAAGTTTATCATTTTAATTTTTGATGAGATACCTCTTAAAAGGGTGTAACTATTATTTACATTTAAAATCCATTCTCTTTCTATAAATGTCCTTGTATGTAGTATTTTCCCTATTTAAATGTGGGGTTTACTGGCTTATAGTCCAGAAAATACTGATACTGAAAATAATATGTTTCTTCATAGAATCACAAGGGAACATAATTTATCTCAGACATTTTCTTGAAACCAAAAAGAAAATTCAACTAAAACAGAATAATTATTGATATAATTTGACATGAAAATTCTATACTATTTGGTCCTACTCAAATGACTCCTCAACGTAGAGAGTCATGAAGAATGGTTTTAGCCTGAGCTTTGCCAGAATCACTAAGGTTAAACCAATCCAAAAAAATAGGAATACTTCTTTTTCTTTCCGGTTCTTTACCATATCTATGAATATTTTTATGTCTAATTTCACTTGACTTCTGCTATACTCAATAATTCATAAAACTGACATAAAGATGCCTTATTCTTTTGAACTCAACTAAAACTGCCTTAGAGATTGTGGTAATTAAGAACTAATAAAGACAAGTGACACAAAAATTACAGAACAGAAACAGCCTTAAACTCACAGTGTCATTTGAAGAACATCTCTTCTTTCATAAGGTGAGTATTAAACCTGCTGAAAAATTATCCTATCTCAACTGCAAATGACTTGGGAAAAAATCTACAACAGAGGAGTTATGAAGTGACTTCTGTTGGAGAACCAAGAGGTATTTCCACACTAAGATAGGAAACAGAAGGAAGGAAGATATTTGCCTCTATTTTGTGATAGATGGCATAATATGTTTAAATTAGAGGGGGAAATGAATTGGGAGATTGAGGTGCACTGCAGTTGAACTGTCTTTGTAGGAAAAATATATCACTTACCACTTTAACGTTATCCCGTTAAAAGCCTCAAACACAAGAAGGAAGGCAAGATTCTTTTTCTGTACATGTTAAACTGCAGGTTTTGACTGGATTGTTAAGAGTTTCCACTTCAAAGAATGACTAGGAAAAATTTTTATGTTAAAGCTTCTTAGAAATTGTCAAGATGATATGCTCAAGATCCTTGTTCTTTGATTAAGGATGCCTAACCACAGTCTGTTGGCAAAAATGAAGCTGCTGGCACGTCGTTCCCAACTATAAACTGGATAATCCTAGGATGTTGGAATGACAGTGGTCAACTCAGAATCAATGACGAGGACAGGACAATAGCAGTACTTATTGTAGGAGGCAAGTTTTGTGATAGAGATAGGCAGTCTGTAGATATTGAGAAAAATAGTCACACAATTCTTATTGATACATAAGGGAGCAAATTTATAGATGTAATCTTAATTCTTCTACATGGGCTCTGTTGTTATAAAATCCAGAGTGGTTAGATTGTGTGTGAATAATTTAATTTTAAAAGCTATATTATTGCTGTTTGTGCAATCACTAAGAATTGGGAGGGGAAATATATAATAAAAACTATATATGTCTTGGAAGTTCAACAGCTTTCCAAGTTGGGAAGCCTTATTATTTGCTTCAGTTGGGGCATTTACTGCTCTTCCATATGTATATGTTGTATGCTCACAGTGATCATCACCTCTATTAAAGGTCTGATTTTGTGTTAGAAGAGAGACTTAACTTTGTGGCTCAGTTCAGTGAGGCAAATCAATGCCTAATGGAAGAGATAAAAGAGATGACAACATGAGGAGCTTTACAGAAAGCAATAAAGTTAATCTTTTCTGCTAAAGCACAAATTCATTCTACTGGAAAGAATATATGCAATCTTAGATTCACTGTAGATAGTGACCTAGGTTAATTTAACTCAAAGCTCGGGTAAGACTGTCTTAGTAAGTGTATTAATTTAAAACTATTTCAATATAGTTAGCTCCCTATTTTATGTCAAATCTCAATCTAAATTTTAGAATAAGTAGTGTTAGCTTTTTAAGAACACACCTGATTGATATAAACAAAAGTAGGAAAAAAATTTCTCTAAATGCATAGCATAAAAAAATTAGGCAGAACTCAGTGAATAATACTTCTTACCTTTTCTATCAATGCATGGGCTTTTTTATAGGTGCTTTGATTTATGTAGATTACTTTTATGTGCTTTAATAAATCTCTTTTTTTTTCTCCATCAGCCTTATGAAGATCAGTATACAAACCACAATTTTTGTATACTCTTGTCATAGTTGAAAGTTACTGGTTTCACAAAGGCTGTTTCCATTTATAGTTGTTGGATAGGATGCTTATTACATAGGTCATGATCTCTGCAAGGCAGTGCCTGTGGATTTGACTGCTTGCCCTGTAAGTTATATACTTCTTTATTCATGGAGCAGTCAGGCATTTTAGATCAGGTGAACTAAAAGATGGTGGCTTCTTCAAGCAAGTCACTCCTGTTCAAGAAGAGAACAGTACTTCTCTTTTATATAAAGAATCTTAAAGAATTTGTCAATCTATTATCTTCCCAGTCAGTGTCGCCATAGCATCTTTCTGCCTAGCAGAAAATGGATTTAGATAAATCCATTAGACTAGGACCTTTGAAGTATATCCTCACATTCTAGAAATAAAATAATCTATCTTCTATCCCTCACTTCTATATCAATCCATTGAATTAAGGAACATTGGATATCAGAGATATTCAGCTTCTCATAGTCTGAATTTCACATTTTCACAAAGAAACAGAAATCCTTATAGTACCCACATCTTGCATATACAGTTTCTAATAACATCCTTTAAAGTCAGAGCTATAAATTCAAGTTCTGTAATTTTGTATTTAATGAAGAATCACTTTTCTACAAAGTATGCAATTTAATGTACCTTAGTTATTGTTTGTTTGCTTTAACTTTGGTTGCAAAACATGAGGATGGAACACTTTATTTAATATTCCCTCCCACACCTCCCACACTGAGGTTTTATCACATCAGGATTGAAATGTAAGGGTTTTGACCCTTTATAATATTTATGTGAAATAATTTAATGCAAATAATGTGTTAGAGTAATACCCTACTGAAAAGTAGGGACTATTAAATTTGGAAAGTTTTGTTGTATTCTTATCATTATTTTATTGTCCTACAACTGGCAGATTATTTTTTAAAATAATTCTAAAAATCAATCTTTTAAATAGAGTATAGACACCAACTTCCAAATTCCCGTAGATAATATCAAGGACATACAATGAAATATTAATTTTAAAAGCTACCTTGGCATCTTTAGAATAAATGGCGTTTTCTTGTATTTCCTCAATAATTCCAGAAAGTCAAAGTTGTACATTCATTCTACTCATTATTTATTCAACAGGTATTTATTGAGTACCCACTATGTTCCATACTGTGTTCTGGATACTGAGAATATAACAACGAACAAGACAGACAAAAATTTTTGAAATTCCTACCT